AAATTTAATCCTTGAAAACAAAATTGTTACCCAAAAACTTTCGTTTTCAAATTAAATTTGTGTATATTTTCTAGAATGTTTTAAAAAGAAGAGAATCAAAAAATGAATTTGTTCGTTGAAACGAGAATGAAAGGAAACAAAAAGAGAAACAGAGAGACCAAAATGTTTTAGCATGTAGAAATAATATTTCATAAAATTTGACAGTGGAGATCAAGACGCAGTAATCCCGTTTATTGGAAGTCGAACTCTGGTGAATAAGTTGGCCAAGGTTCTGAGATTGAACGCCACTCTTCCTTATTCACCTTGGTTCCACAAACATCAGGTGAGAATATACATATATATTATTTTAGAATTTATGTTCCAACGTGTAAGAGTTGAAGATTCGAACTTATAACATTGGAGATAGGTTAAATTATGCTTAAACTTTATCAAACCCGTGATCTTAATTTTTGTGTTAATTTATTAAATGATTAAAAAAAATCAAATCTATTTCAAAGTTTGACATGTCACCTTAAATGTGACTTTAATATTTATCTCTATATATATAATCTACTCGTCTATTTGTCTCTTCACCGTAAAGTATTGGATGTTAAAATATTATTTTGAACCCTTGAGATTAATTTCAGTGCAGTGTTGTTACTTTCAAAAGTCTAAATATAGTCCCGTAAATATGTTATTAAAATTTCTAGAAGAAAAGTTCAGACACTAAATCTTTTAAAAGGAAAAGTTAACTAGGAAACTTATGGCAATACCTAATTTTAAAATTTACGGAAAGTAGATAGACTAAAATAGAATAAGTCAGACCAAATGATTATGAAAGTTTTAAAACATATATTTATGATACTTGAAGAGGATTTATGAGTAGTTTTGAAGGATTTGTTTTTAGTGAAAGAATAATGACATAATTACTGTGTTAGGTTGGAGGATGGGCACAAGCATTTGGGGATAAGAATATCCTATCATTTGCCACCATTAGAGGAGCTGCTCATCAAGCTCCTTACACGTCCCCAGAAAGATCATTGGCACTTTTTACTGCATTCTTGGCAGGAAGCAGCCTATGATGCAATTCCCTTACAACTCCTCATTGTCTTCAATAAATAACTAAAGCATAAATCACTCATATGCTTTTAACTTTACCACAATATTACTGCACTCATATGTTGAGATAATGCAGCCTATTTTCCTCCACGTGTTTTGGAACTTGGTGAATTTTCCAATCTTGCTCGTCTTTTTTTACCCCAAAAATGGGATTGCAAATTTTCATGAGGGTGGGAGAAAAGCAAGGCTTTTGATTGAAATGGTATCTTATTCATTCTAAGATTTTGTTAAATTATTATTGAAAGGCTTTTGATAGATTTGACTTGGTGTTAGCTATTGTAAAAGAGTGGATATTTGAGAAGGTTTTGGTGCCTAATTATTGTTAGCAAATATTGTTGGATATTGTTGGAAGGAAAAATATGAACGAACATACATGTGACCAAGGGCAGATCACCGAAGGGATGGGAGGGACCCATATTTGAAATAAATACTTTCTTAATGTTTAATTAGTTTATTAGCATTTGGTTTGGTGGTATATGTTCTACCCTTAATTACCCATACATATGTTGGTCCAACTAAAATTTATGACTACAGTGGTAACCTATATATGAAACTTATAATATCTCAAAAAAACAACTTTTATTGTATACTATTTTAACTTATTTTTGTATATTGTGTCCCTGAATCAAATTACTAGATCCACCACTGCCTGTGACCCCTAACACAAAGCAACAATAATCCACGAAATGAACCACGATGTTCCTTTTATATAATTAGGGAACTAGAGAAAAAAATGAACGGAATATTTCGTCGTTTCTCAAAGTGTACTAACAGAGAATTAAATAGATAACATGAAATTCTTAGTAAAACAAGCCAAATATAAAACCTCTAAAAGCAAAAAAAACAAGCTTATAAACTATTAGCAACGGAGGGTGAGTAGCAGCGGCAGCGCGCTGTAAACTAAGGGCAGCAACCTGAGGGATGGGGGAATGAACAAGGGAGCAATGGAGGGAGAGGGAAAAAAACTGAAGAGAAAAAATCTCGTAGCTTTAGGATTTTTTATGACTTTTCTCGATCCTACAAAAACTTCAGCCTAACTCTCTAAGGTGTCGTTTGTTTGGTGGTAATCTATGATGCCCATCCCATGGGTATTTGGATTACCTTGTTTGGCATCCTAGAATACTGTAGCCATTTTGATTACCGTTTAAAAGATGGGTTTTTGAGATTCTCTGATACATGACAACCCAAGCGTATTGAGCTACTCGAACCAGAAGCCACTTGAATCCAATCGTAGAGTTGGTTCAACCTGAAAGGCCAGGGTTAGAGGGATTACCTTTAGAGTCATTACCTTGAGCAAACAGATTACTCATTATACTCGAGGCCGGAAACACTTCACGAGTTTGATGACCAATCAAACAAGCATGCTCCGAGGGGTCAAATACGAAGGCCTAAGTTCAACCACACAAAGGGATTTGAAATTTGAAGGGGGTTTAGACACGGCAATGAAAGAAACACTCAACTCAATTTGATTCACTAGTAGAAACATGAGTTTTCATCACAGTTGTGAACAGTAAAAAAGTTGGGAGGAAAAAAAAACTATCATAAATGATTGGGGCACGTTTTTTGTGGGAAAAAGCGGAACTTTTCAGATTTTTCAAGTTTTATGACAGTTAAAAACTGTCACAAAAACTGAATTTTTTATGACAGTGGAAAAATGTCACAAAAAAGTAGAGACGCGTTTTTTGCGGGAAAAAATAGTCACTTACGTTGCTTCATGACATTTTATAATTGTCAAGAAAAATAAAAAAATTTCAAGTATTCCATGACAATTACCTATGCCATCTTGAGAATCTATGACATACAAAAAGTATCACAAATGATTTTGAGCACCTTTCATTTATGTCGGAAAAATTGCCGCTTCGTTAATGATATTAGTTATTTCGGGATTGTCCGGTCGCATTGAGTATAGATTTATGCTCAATGTTTTTCCCAAATACTCCATCAAACAAATAGAAAATGTGGCTTTAGTACAGTGGTAAGCTTATCTTGCCTAATTGTGCTCTTCCTCTCTTCGGTCTCAAGTTTGAGACCGATTGATTTGAATTATTTTATCAATCCTCTATTATTACATTTTTACAAAATTTTACCTTTACCATCATTAATTAATTTAATTATAATTTCAATTTAAAATAAATAATATATATTTATTTCTTATCAACCCGTCCTTGCATAAATTTAAATTATAATCTGAATTTTTTTTTAATAGAATGGAAGTCAACTTAATCGAATGTTTAGGAATTAATTTTGATTTAAATTGGAACTAGTTAGGTTCATGATCCTTTAAATTTTTGTATACCATACAATCTTAAATTTTAGATATAAATCTATTAATTAAATCTTAGTTTTGAAATTTTTTTTCATTACATTCTTGCCTAAATTTTTAAGAATATTAATTGAAACTTTTTTAAGGAAAATATAAACAAGTCATAACTTTTTTCCAATAACAAAAAAAAACTTAGTAGATATTTCTTTCTATATAATATATATATATATATATATATATATATATATATATATATTCATTTACATGTGTAAATTGAAGTCAAGATCAGTGAGACTTATGGATACACTAAACGTTATCTTCCTCGCGCTCTTTTGGCCTTTGCCATCATCCTTCGTCTTCCTCGCGCCGTTGTTCTAGTTCCGTTACCTAGATGACGCAAATTCACATAATCGATCGTCGGCACTACAAGAATTATGAGTTTTTTTCGACTCTATTATTCTCGACGCTGGGCAAACATCTTTTTCCCGACTAAAGAATAATAGTCGGGACTTTACCGACTATTGACTAAAATAATCAGGAAATAATCGGGACACCGTCGCACAGCCCTGCCGCTATCGCCCAACCCCACCATTGTCACTCAGCTTCGTCAGTCTGTCGTCCGTCATACAGGGGCGCCGCTGGTCAATCCCTCATTCTTGGATTTTCTAATTTTGAAGTTCTAATTTTGGGTAAATTATAATTTAAGTTTAATTTATCATATTTGAGGTAAATTATTTTTCCTAAAATCATTTTAAAGTGAGATTTCTTCCAACAAAAAATGAATTTATTTCTATTATTTTAGTTGTTTAGCCCTTTATATAAATTTTTTTTATTTAGATTTATGTTGTTAAAGAAAAAAAAATTAAAAGAAAAGAAGAATAAAAGAAAAGGCAAAGAAGGTGAAAATCCTAAATTAGAAACCCCACCCACCCAGTCTTCCTCCTCCTTGGTGTTTTCCCCCAAAATTAAACCCTCGCCATTTTCGCCTTTTTCAGCCCCCTCGTCGTCGCCGTGTTGCGTTCTTCAGCCTCGCCGTTGACGCTCTGTTGCCGTTCATCGCCCATCCGTTGCCAATCATTGTCGTTCCGCCGCTTGCCGTCTCTTCGCGATGGTTCGTCACTGGTCCATGGCAGCTTCTTGTTCTTCGACCACCGGTGCCATGACCTGTTCCACACCGCCAGCAATACGGGAAGCAGCAGTGAAGGGCGTGTTCTTCCATCTCTATTGTCGGTTTTCTTCTTCACATGTATCGTTTTTTTTTCGATTTCATACAAAGCTCTAAACCTCTTCTCAGTTTGGATTCTTCTAATCGTGTTTTTCTGCAGGGTACTTGCGCCTTCGTTTTCCCTCTGCAATCTCTTCAACTTCGTTGCACTGCTGTAATTCGCCCTTCAAGGTAGGTGTATTTTGGACCCAGTTTTAGGTTTCTTGTGGTTTAATAAACTAAGAAACAAACTATGAGATGATGTTGGTTTCTTGAATTTAAAACATTGTAAGATCTTATAACACCAATGCGTACACAACCTACTACTTAACTTCTTGTTTGTCTTTATGGCTAAACCTTATAAGTACTGGACAAAAGATATAAAGTTAATATCAAAGAGTATCTTACATTCACATTTTAACAACATCATGAGAAATGCTCATTAAAACTACATAAACATCTTCCTATAACTATTTGGCAACACTAATAGAAGATCTGTTAAAAAGCGTTGAAGAGAAATATTCATTAAAGCTACATAAACAGCTTCCATTAACTATTTGGCAACACTGATGGAAGAACTTGAACCAACAACCATAACATTAGAGGGTTGAACTATGAAACTCAAATTTGAAAGCACTCCTAATAGACTTAAGAAAAATATATATCTTCTAAGGTTTTATATGATAATTATCCATGAAAATAAATTCTCAACAAAAACTACATTTATTTTGTAACTTATTAGTGACATGCATTCAATTTTCACTTTAAGAGAATATTATAATGAACAGCACTCTTTATCCTTACGATCACAAAATACTAAACATAACCCATAAAACAAGACCCTTTTAACTACACATCAAGCCCAAAAACCTTTTAACACACACCCCAAACCCTTACAATAGTCTCAATAATAAAGTGAAACTCAATACAAATAGCTCTCTTCTAGAAAAAATAATAATGGGAGATTATCAAACACTAAAACTATCAATATCACTAATGAAGATTCAAATTAAGAAAGTCAGTTCAAAAGAGAAAAAGAAATTAGTTCTAACTCTCAACATCACTAATGAAAACTAAAATTAAGTTATACCAACAGTTGTTCCTAGAGTCCAAGACTTGTTACTAATCTCAGGTTTAAAGTTTGCGATCTTATAGAATTTTCATCTTATCTAATAGTGGTGACACTTTGATCGTTTCCTTGTACACCATCAAGTTTTTTGTAGTTGGAAGTCTATTGTTTCTAACGAAATGCAAACAAAGAGCTACTTTTAAAGAAGTGAAAGCTATATTGCTATCTATTTTCAAGAATCAGTGTTCATTTTTGTGTCAAAATTGTGGTTTACAAAGCATTTTCTATCTCGTCTATGGTGATCACATTTGTACCTTTGAAGCTTATGGTAAATTTGTACATTTGTCATATATGTAACACAAATTATACATTTGTCATATATGTAACACAAATTATACTCGAGCAAATTATAAGTATGAGAGAGATA